AAGAAGAAAGGAATGGAATAAGAAATAAGAATAAGAATAAATTCACCGCCGCAGCATTCCAAAGAGAGAATCAGTGCCTTGTGAAATACAAGAGAGGGACCCCAATATACAAAATACAGATCACTCATTCACTGTCACTGTCACGGACTTCGGACTCCTGACAGAAGTATCAGGCCATCTCGAGAATGTGAGATTAATTTACTCCACTGCTGACTACTACAACAATACTACTACTAGCTACTACTACTACTACTACTACTACTACTACCCCTCCATGCTACTACTAGTCACTAGTACTAGATAGAGTATAGTAAATAAGTAGTATTGCTATTACTATTCACTGCCCGCGAATACTGGAGTATTAGTAATGTAATTTGTAGTAATGAACTTACTAGTGCCTACGAGCATCGCATCGTGATGTTATTAGAATATGGTTGCCAGGATGGTGACCCTAAGTAAGTAGTAAGTAGTACTATAGTTCGTAAATTATAATTATATGCCATACAGCATGATAAAGTCATGAAATCTGTGTATAAGCTATGATATAAGCGGAGAATGGTATTTTGTTAAAAACGAAATAGCAATGTATCATGATAGTTCCAAAGGTTGGTTTGGTGTAGATCTAGTAACTATGTAGCCCGCGTACAGCTGCAGCAGCAACTGTCGCGGGCTATAGTTACTGAGAGCTAATAAGTTTGGTGTAACTATAATTCGCCCCTCTTCATATAAGTACCTTCTTCCATGCAAAACGTAAAATATAAACGCTTTCAACAAGATTTATCATGTTAGGTGAAATTGGTATATTCCCTCTTGTGTTATTTATATGAAGTCTATTTGTAGCAGTCCGATGATCCTACAGGCCTGATCATGCTTCCGTGATGTGAAAGCAGCGCATCGACGACTAACAGTTGGTCCAATTGCCGCGGACAAGTAAAAGTATTACGTCGGAAAAAGTTATTCTATTAGCTAGTATTGCCCGATCGACAACTAAGAAAAATTTTCTTGTTGTGTTAAAATTCCTAAACAATCCTTTTGAGCCAGGCAACTATCGCACCGAACATGTTCTCACGTTATAAATTTTCGAAAGTCGCATGCAAAAAAAGCTGGCCCGCGACACCCCCCGGCATGTCTGTGGCTGTGCACATGCATGGCTTGCGTACCCCCGTACTGCCATGCTGACTGGGCGGCATTAGATTGAAGTTATTGGGGGGGGGAGCGGCACTGATGTTTCCAGTCGCAGCGTGGGCCAATGTTTCATGGTACTACGAATATGTAGGGGGTGGCACCGCTAGTATTGAGAGAGCGAGCAGCAACCACGCTTTTCTTGTGGAAATTGAGAAAAAAGCTTGGCAATTCCATTACGATTTTCACATGTAAGTACTGTAATATGATATACACCGAGGAGTAGATAAAGGGGAAGGAGTGTGACTTCAATAAAGCAAGGGGAAATTCGTCATTTTACTAGGCCTATATAATAACCTAGCGATTTACTCACGCGTAACTCATACCAACTTGAAGCTAATCGGACACACAGTACATTTGCGACCATCATCAGTACCAAAAAAGGATCGTTTGCCATCGATAGAACACAGCAAATCCCGGAGAATTACAGACTAAAACATACGACACGACTTCTCTCAATCTTTTGTCCATTTTAATCCAACCTGTAAGGCCAATCGCGTATACTTCAACAAAGGCAGCTACCTAACCACACATGTCACCACAGGGGGCGGCACTTTTGCGCTCAGCGGGCGAGGCGCTGCTGGCTCGCAGGGAGCTGCTGCTCCTGATAGCGGATATGGGCGTGCTCGCCGTGCCGGCATGCCGGTGATGTACATAACAGGCAAACCATTGTAGCGCTGTCTAGCGGCGGGTCAAAGGGTTTATGCTCGCGTCGATGTGTTGGCGTTGATGCCTAATCACCCTGCTAGCCACAGGCGCCTCGCCGTGAGCGCAAAGCCGCGCGCGTGCAGTGGTGGTTAGTAGCTGCCTTTTGTTGAAGTATAGGCGATTGCTACGGTTGATTAATGGAGCAGAAGATGGAAGAACTCGTGTCGTATGTTTTAGTCTGTATCTCGGCATTGCGGTTGGTGCCTACGGAGGAAACGAATGCTGTAAGACGATGGATGGTCGACGATGTACCTGTGTCCGATTGAGCTCAAAGTTGGATGAGTTACGCGTAGTTAACGATCGTAGGTATTGATAAGGCTGAGTAAATGCGAATCCCTTGTTGTATTGAAGTCAACACTCCTTCCCTTTCATCTACCTCCTGATATAACACATGAAACTAAACATGCTGGCTCTAGATTGCAAGTAAAAATTTTGGACAAGTAAAACCTAATATTCGGACAAGGTAACAAGAATTGCTTCATTGTCTTGCCCGGCTACATGACAACCAGATCTGAAAATAAGAGGGCGTCGCTTTTCGAAATCATTCCTATTAAGTTTGAGCTTTCTGCATTTCCTGTCATTCATACTGAATCTCCGTCTTCTTTTGCTGGTTCAACATTGTAAAAACTTCTAGCTGCAATCGTCACAATGTTAATCTAATCCAATCGATGTTGATCAACATTTCTCTCTCTGACCGTCTTCGACGGTAGTCGCCTTTGGGACTATTAAAAGAAGCTACATCATATTATAAGGTTACTGTGTGCGTTCGTGTTGCAAACACACACACAGTCCGGTTCAGATGTAATGGCTGTTTCTTTGAGCTAGTACCCAACCCATCTAACCAATTTATATGCTATGTTATACAGCTGTGCTATTGTGATACCTGACACGTGTTCTCAGATAACCTATATACGGTGGATAGGCAACGGCGTAGCATTTCGCAACTTGCCTTACCTTCAAAGCCTGTGTGTTTCGAAAACCCGGAACAAGCCAGTGAAAGTTTCTGGGTGTTTTTCCAGGGTATGTAAAATCTGGCCTAAGGAACATTGGGGTTCTGTTAATCCCCCGTGGCAAACTGCCATGGCCATGGTGAAATGGTGAGGGCCTCGTCCTTCTAAATGATTAAAATTGGAGAAGGTAAAACAATGCACTGAGGACTGTAAGACACTGCATTGCAGTGACCACTCCATCAGTGTCAGCACAGGTAAGTTTTGGTGTCACTACTCTAGGGCTAACTAGTAAGAATGAGACCTATCATTTTTCCTAAACTATACAGCTAAAATAGTTGGTTATATGATAACTAAGACCAACTCGAAAGCGCAGACCTGACCTCCGGCTCCGCCAAGGCAGCTCAATCATCTCACTTGTGAAAAATTTTTATATAATTAATGGATATTAATGTAAATAAATTAATTGGATCCGGAATCACCACCAAGAACATCAATTCTAAGTTACCCCATTTGCTGGACCTATCCTGAGAGAATTTAATTAATTAATTAATTGGATCCGGATCAGCCAACCAAAATCTATCATGTTTTACATTCTAATTAGGCCCATTTCTGACCTAAGTCCCTGAAAATGTTATGACAATGGCCGTCCAGTAACTTTTTCAGTTAGGCTGTACACAAAACAAACCCACTGAACCAACAAACAACAAGCCGAACAAACACGTACACTACACGTCGGTGAACATAACCTCCTGGGCCAACACCCTTGCAGAGGTAATGATTGTGAAGTCAACATGCCTGAAGACACGAACCGGGGGCTGGCAGATTATAATATATATACTATATATATAACTGCAGGGTAAGAACTTAAGTGTGTTATATAGACTTTTGAACAAGGAGTCCAAACATGACTCCCCTACCGTTGATGGCAAGAGGGAGTCCGCAGCAAAAACTGAGGGAGTCTGCCAGTCCTGTTAACATATATTAACAATAACCGCAGTATATGCATCATTTTGGAAGATTCATGCGGTTGCACGTCTGTCAAATTTTCTTATGGGCATTTACTGAAACATCCTGCGAGCTCCGTGCTGCTGGAACGAACTAGTTAAGTATAGCAGAATTTGTCAGGGAGTCCACCAACGGACTCCTTTCACAAATGTCAAATCAGGAGTTCCCGACAGAAAATCAAGGGAGTATTTGACCTCCCGGATTCCCGATCTAATTCGCACTCTGTAATATATACTATATATATATATATATATATAATATAGTCTAGATAAAATACTAATATCATTTTGTAGTCTGTGCATAGTGTGCTTGCACATGGGGATGATTTGAGCAATGTATAGGTGGAATTATTTGGTAATAAAGAGTACATAAACATAAAAAGTTTGGTATATAATAAAGTAAATTTATATTTTTATTTATTATAACATTATTATTATCATCTACTGCAGAGTATTATAACATTATTATTATCATTATGCAATTTTAATGTCCCCCCAATATAATAAGTATGTTTATGATAGTGACATAATTATATAGATCAGAGAGTACAATAGATATTTTCATGATACAATGTTTACAATTTCTCTACTGTATCCATATAAGATATGTCCATCTAATGCATATAATATGTAGCCAGAACTCGAACCCTGTACCATGATACGGGGCCCATACCGGGATCCGATGTTATAGGCATGGTTTTGAATTCCAGATAAGATTGGTTTATTGTATTTATAATTATAGCATTTATTTAAATCTTTTTAAACCTATTACTGATGATAAAATGTGAGTCAAGATGTTATTTTTACCTTGTGGTTTCAGTATGCCACCCTGAAAGAAAAATTACGATATAAAATTATCATACTGGTTGTTTATTGGGTGTTTTCTACCTTTTTTCTCCAGAAAACTAGTTGTTCATTAGTAAATAACAGGTACAGTGTGTTACATATGTATATATAGATTGCTGTATATTTATTATAAGTGCCAGTGAATAAGACAAGCGTGTATGCGTGCACGCGCACACACCGTGCCACACGCGCGTGTGAGTGTGTGCCTGAGCAATGCATAGGGCCACGTGTCCGATGTCTTACAGCTGCTCTGCACTTGCCGCATGGGGGTCATTCCTTATAAGGATGCGGGAGTATCGCGTGTTACAGCTGCCAGCGCTGCTGCTTTGACTGACAGTGTGACGGTAGCTGCAATGTAGCGAACATGGCGATTAACCCTCGTGACGGGCTTCTTCTGTCACCGGCCTGACGTAGGTTTACATGTGATTTGTGACTGGACTGTTGTGTGAGAGAGCGAGAGAGAGTACATGCGTGCTGCACCATCGTAGGTATAAATGTTATCTGTCCTTCAGATAGGAAGCAGTGCGGAGTAGGGCGGAGCACGGGAATGCACAGGCCGTTCTGTTGACTCTCACGTACTTTACGTACCATCTTTTTCTGAATAATCTGAAATAACTACAGATTAGTGTGAGTTTAACATTGTAATCTCTACCGTCATTGCGACAACAATCTAAAGTGGTTTGGACGCCTTCCTTGTGAATTAGGTGCACATTTGCATGTCTAAATGTCAAAGTTATGAGTTGATGCTCGTGCATGTTTTCGTGATTGAGCATAATGTATTTGTGAAATTATGAGGTGTGAAATGTAGAAGTGTGATTTTTATTCTATTTTAACGATATCCAATCATTTCTTGTGTTTTGGGGGGCATTTTACAAATACGGTACAAGTTTTGGGCAAGATGCAGCACAGAAACACTGTGTGTAACTGTGGCTTCTTTTGTATCTCAGCAGTCATACGTGGGCATCCGAAGAGGCCATGGGCCGTCCGTGATGCGTACCATACAGAAACCGCAGGCGTGTAGCCAACACCACCGCCCCACGCTGGGGGACCCGCTGCACGCGAGTCCGCGAGGCCGAGCGTCTGACCACTCCCCACTGGTCAGTCCGCCGTGTCCAGCCTCCGGCCGCGCGATCCCGGCAAGTCCTAGGCATCATGGCCCTACAGTGGAGGACCTTCATCAGGCGGTCAGACTTCACGATATCGCCCGCGTGGAGAAGATCGCATCAGCTCTGACAGACGTCAGCAGCAGCCTGCGCGCCACCACGGCTTTGTCGCTGGCGGTGTACCAGGGACACCTGGGTGAGTAGCTCACTATGTGGCGATGTGTTTGGCGCTTCGACTCATTGCAGTAACTCGAAAGTAAAGGAGGCAGCCGATTCTTTTTTGGCAGTGAGAACCGGCGAAAGTTAGATGTTTGCTTTCGCATCCATGAAATGCAATTTTTGTAACAGGAGTTTTATTGGAACCATTGTCTACCCAGATAATATCAAAAGTTGATGATTCAAATCTTAGTATGATACTGTATTTATACATTAATTATGTGTCAATTATTATATTATTGCATAGTCTTATATTATACATTAAATCGGGTGATCATACATCATCATGCATTGAATGGAAACGACTGTTTTTAATGCACACCTGATCAAATTCGCATCTTATTATTTCACTCGATAACACGGAAACGGCGCGAGTAAAGTGTTTTCGAATCCCTACCGCGTCGTACGACTATCTTGCGTTCGTCTCTCCCGCAGACACCGTTGAGCTGCTGCTGAGGCACGGCGCCGACGTCGACAAGCTGAGTCGCGACGCCATGGAGCGCCTGGAGACGCCGCTCTTCTCGGCGTGCCGCCTCGGCCACACCGGCATCGCGCGCGTGCTCATCCAGCGCGGCGCCGACCTCAACAAGACCGACTTCTACGCGCACACGCCCGTCTGGATCAACACGCGCGACAAGCGCGCCGAGATCATCCAGATGCTCGTCGAGCGAGGCGCGCGCCTCAACATCTCGCCGGCGTGGAACCAGTGCCCGCTGTACCTCGCCGCGAAGTTCTCGGGCCGGCTTGCGATCGCGACGCTGCTCGTCTACCACGGCGTGCGGCTCGACGTCGCCGACCGCAGCGGCCACTCGGCGCTCTACTGGGCGCTGCACAACTGCGACCGCGACCTCGCGCGGCTGCTTGTCTCCGCCGGCGCGCGCCTCAACCCGTCGTGGGTGCTCAGCGACGAGCTGCCCTACGAGCTGCAGCGCGACGAGACGTTCTCCGATTGGCTGACGGAGGAGGCGACGACGGCGCCACCACTGCTGCGACAGTGTCGCGCTGTGGTGAGAGATCGGTTCAGGTGCTTAGCCGATTACAGCAGCATCGTAGGTCGGATCGAGCAGTTGCCTCTACCGAAGCGACTCTTAGATTACGTTAAACTTAAATCATAAGGATTCTCTTGTATGGATGAGACGTTTAATGTACAATATTAGCTTACAATGCAATGGTAATCATCTTGTAAGTTTACTCTAAAGCAGTCGACAGTCACTGGAACCTGAAAGTTGTGTCCACAAAAGAGCATGTCAGAAAAAAATCGTTATTGTCTCGGTAGAAGCAGGATTCATGCTGTTTCATTACAATATGTGAGTATGTGTGCCCACGTCTCTACGTGTGTTAATTTTTGTTTCTTACGTGCCAGTAAGATGCACAGTTAGTACATCTCTGTATGTGTATTTGCATGCTTGCATTGCAGAACAAAAGAAATGAGGAGCGAAAGGATAATATATGATTGAATTTAACTATAGCATGTAAAGGGTCTATATATGTTATGAATGACTTTGCTGTTCAGTAATGTGTCTGATACTGAGTTTTTGTTCGTCAGTGTGGCAACAGATAGAGCTTCCTTTATTGGTTGTGAAATGTAGTTAGTGTGTTGTAGAATGTTTTCTTAAAGTAGGTCTACCATGTATATTCATGGATATTTGTTTATTCTTAGAAATCGTTTGCAAACTATAATAGTTTGCAGATACTGTGGTAATTCTGTGGTTGTATAAATCTCGTCTAAAGCTAGTCATCACAAATCGTTTCAAAAATAACCATCTTCATCAAAATTCCAAGAGTCTTGTGCGTATAAATTCTGTAACAGCTTCAATTTGATAGCATTTGAGTGATGATCATATAATTACCACAATGTTTTCGGGACCAATTTCTTTTTTCTTCTCTTGTAATTTTGCATTTGATTTGAAATGCAGCCCAAAATGGCAGCAAGTATTCGCAAAGGGTGAGAACTCTAGTCTTAATATATATAGTTGAAATTGTGTATTAATTTAATAAGTTATTGTTAATGACAATCGTACCTGTGTATAATCGTAACGTAATAGAGTGAGTTCAGTAGGTTTTATTTCTAATTTATTTTTCTAGTGTAGCCTATTCGTTGTTTCGACATGCCTCTGGCCTGCTTTTAATTAATTATCATTCGGGGCTGTTGACTAGCATTGCTGTCATGTTACTTGTTGTTTTTGACATCATCCTTGCTGAGCATTGATTAATAATCAGTCATCAACATCGATCCTTATGGCATTGCTGGCGAGTCTCAAGACTAGAGTGTTTTGTGTGAGTGTGATTATACGCGTGTTATGTACAGTCAAACCTGTGTTAGCGGCCACTCCTGTAGAAAGGTCACATGTCCATAAAGGCCGCTTACGTCATTTGACTTAATTGGCTGTTATATGGAGGTTTGGCCGTATTTAAATATGTATAGTTAGATTAATAGACATAGGTAAGCTAACACACAGCTGAGTGAGAAATGTTAGTGTCGTATCGGCCAACTGTGCAGAGGTGTGTTATTGTGAGATCACATGCCAGTGTGGCAACAGTATAATGTATAAATACCAGTCCGTCGTAGAGGCAGGTTGGTCTTCTCTGCAGCATGGCATGGCGATATATATATATATATATATATATATATATATATATATATAATCAGGAGTGTATATAAATATAGACTATATTATATACTATATTCTATATTCCTACGTCTATATTATACACTCCTGATATAATTATATGTGCGCGTGTTGTACATAGAACGTTGGGGCGCTTGGCGTGCATGCGTGGTGACTAGGTCGTAACTCACGGGTTGCCAGTGTGTGAGTGTAAAATAATTATAATTACAGCTTAATTAATAGCTTAATTATAATTACAAATAATGAGCTATCGTCGACTAGTGTCTTCTTATGATGTGACGTCAGTATTCGTGCGTTTCACGTCGTTGTTTGGGTACTGGTGTCATTTGTCCGCCGGCAGGAACTAATCTACCGTTATAATGCGTGTAACAATGCGCAAATGCTTTCCGTCCCAGCAGCACGCATTCAGTCGATCCCCTCTCCCGCGGCTCCCTGCCTGCAGCGACTCTTACAGATAGTTCTGCATATTCGGAGCTGCTAGTAATGGGTATAATAAGGGGCGCCTACCTACATAATTATGTTCGTCCACTGTCGTCTAGCTGGCGACTTTTTTCGAAAATAGAATTTCGTGATTCTTCAAAAAGAAAGTCGGTTAGAAGTTCTTCATGCAATACTTATTGAACACTTCATACAAGTCCTAGGTGTGACAATATCCCGTACGAGTCTCAGGATGCTACAAGTTCGAATCTCCTTCTCTGAACACATTCGCTAAAATACGCGCTTAATGTTACGCTCATATAAAATGTCTATAAACGAGTGGGTTTATATTGTTGGAGATGTAATTGTTACAATATGCTTTTAGTGTCCCACAAACTACAAATCATCGGGACTATTATAACTGTCTATTTATAGTTTAATTGTTGTTGTTTAATTTATGTGTTATTTAATTGCGTGTTCATGACGTCGATATGGTCGATATATGTTGAACGTTGTCTGTTGTCACCATCTCCATAAGTCTGACTTTTTGTTACACTGCTGATATATACCTCTGCACATCTGTGACAATATACTAAAATATTGCAACGCAATATAATTACATTGTCTCTGTGAAACAGTCGTATTGTAACAGCACTAATGTAATAAATTATGTTGTTGTAATAAAATGTTGGTGCAATGTATGTCGATCAAAAATTTCCAAATTTGGTCATTCGGGGCGGGTATTTCAATGGGAAAATGAAGGGAGTGCAAGCATTTAACGACCTTATGAATTACCCTATACAACGCACGGTTAGAATTTTACCTATCGCCACACAATGGTCTTACAATAAAAAAAAAACATTTCAAATGAAAAGAGAAAGAATTATTAGTATTATTAATCAGAAAGAGTTATTCTGTAGACACGTACGTTGCACGCACATTTTTGTGCTTTAAAAAATGACAAAACAGCAACAAAAATACATTGACTAACTAGCAGCTATTTTATTTAAATACAGTGCATGTGAGTAGTGAAATCTGGACGAGTGGACGTCGCTGTGTTGTGTCAATCCCGTGTCAATCTCCGCGGCAAAAATGGTCTGTATAGATCACATACAGTGCAATATTACGACGGTTTGCTGTTCCACGTGTATCCTGGCTCAGCGAGTGATATTGAAGTTCGCTGCGTATTTATTTACATAAGCTTATAGGCGTGTGTCGATGTAAAGATATCTGCGGTCTCCCGCAGATAAAGGTCACCTTGTAAAAGTCACCCGCTAAATCGAAATCTTCTCGCGTCACGTAGCGAAAGTCCGACGGCCGATGTCGCACGGATTAACGTTTCCTGACCTTTGACCGCAAGCCGCACATCCGACGGCCGTGTAGATTGGGTTGAAAGTAAAGTCCGGGCAGCTGCCGCAGCAGCTGGCACGCGTGCCACGGATGCACGTTGATGACATTGCCTACCCCCGGCGTTGCATCGAGATATGCAATGCGTGCAACCCGAGACATTCTCTTAGCTTCTGTGCACCATCCCCACCATCTGCTCAGCTATTTCGGGCAGGCGAACGAGCGGCAATAAGAGTTTACAGGGGCTTCGTGCGCGCGTGTAAGGCTTCGAATATAGAGCGTATATGTCGCATGGTCTATAGGGCCTATACGTGGCCCCGTGTATATAGGGCCTATGCGCGGCTTCGTGCACAAGGACCTATAGGTCTATATGCATAGTAGATATACACGGCTTCGTTGACAGGGGATTCATAGGCGCACATAGACGCACAACAAAATAAATTATATGCAAGACTTTGGCGTAGTGGAAACTGGAAACCGCCACTAAAACATTAAAAACAAGCCGGTGAACTCTATGTAGGCCCCTACGGTCATCATGCATGCGATGATGCATGTATTAGGTCATCGTATGATGCGTTTTTCTTATCGTTATTGTGCATACACACGCGCACGCACGCACGCACGCACGCGCGCGCACACACACACACACACACACACACACACACACACACACACACACACACACACTATTGACTATCATAATACAGGATTTACTGCACGCCTTACTGCACACCTTACTGCCACTGCTTCACCTCACCTATTTACAATACACTGTATTAATTCCTAAATAAAAACAATCCAATTAAACATTGAATAATACTATATAGGCCTACAAGGCTAAATATATACATGAGTGAATAATAATAGATCTATTATTATTATTATTCACTCCTGATATTATATATATATATATATATATATAAAATCATAAACATATCGTTACTCAATAATTAATATATCAAATTGATAACATAAAAACATTTAATTTTAGCTAGTCTCTCCTTTTCATTATGCGTCAACTATACATGCATGTATAACTATATAATATTACAAGCATATATTAATCATTATTATATCAAACAAATCACATAAAAACATTTTAACGTTATGCACACGCACACGCACCCGCACACGCACCCGCACACGCACACGCACACGCACACACTCACGCATGCACACATGCACACACAAACACACGCACACACACACACACAAACACACACACACACACGCACACACACACACACACACACACACACAACACACACACACACAACACACACACGCACACACACACACACACG